GATTTTTTCTTTTTTTCGGGGAAAGGGAAAGAGATTAAACCCAAACTCGGGTCTGGGTTCTGGGGTTTGGGTGGGATTCAGTGTAAGCATAAAAAGCGGGATGTCAGATTAAAGTGAAGAAAAATAAATAGGGAATTGTGTGTAGTCCTCTTGCTTCCCGGAGCAGCGAAGTCTAAAATTCTCAGCTCCAGAGGCCTGTCTGCCTGTGTGATAGAGTCCCAGTGAGGTTTGAAATTCCGGGGGGGCGGGGCAGTGAAGGCTACTCTTCCCGTAATCCGAGCCAAGGGGCCCTGCGTCCAGCTCCCGGATCATCCCCGCGCAGCCCGAACGCTGCCTGCAAACCCGCGAGCAACGACAGTTCGGGTGTTTGCACCCTGGCGCCCTCTGCGCTTGGCGCGGGCCTGTGGACAGCCCGCGGGGCTCAGAGAGGAAACCAGGGCCCCAGGAGCGCTTTCTGATTCCTGGCCACCGGGTGCAATTTACAGAAATCATCGGTATCTTTCCACCGTTTCCCACGGGGAGTCAAGAGGAGAAAAGTCTCAGTTTGTCTGACTTGAGAGAGAGAGAGAGAGAGAGAGGGAGAGAGAGAGAGAGAGAGAGAGAGACTATTTCTAGAACAAAACTGTACATGCTGTGAACTGCCTCAGATAAGAAGGAGAAAACTCTGGAGGAAGACTGGATGGTGGGGACATAAATCCAAATACTGAAATTCACGAAGGTGACAACATCCAACAGTGGGCTTTTTCTCGGGCTTTCCAGATACCTAGACATTTTTAGTCTTATTTCATATACACAGAAAAAAAGAAATCCTCCCTGTCCCTCATCCCCTTCATGAAATGCTCTGGGTCCTCTACAAACAAAGCTGCTGCCCCAATTTCAGGAGTCAACGGAGCATTTTATTTTGTCAGCGGAGCATTTTATATTCCATGGTTTACCTCCCACGCACCCCCCACCCACCGGCTTTTTTCCTTTGCTGCCTCCCCTAGTCCCACTCCACTTTGGACAGAATTGCTTAGGATCCCTAACCAATACCCAACGAATCCCCCAGCACCCACCCACCCCCACATTATTATGGGCTCCAAATGAAGACCAAGACCCCGAGAGCTAATTGAATTAGTCTATTGAAAAAGACTGTCAGGTACAATGACGTGACTCGAGGCCCCACATTTCCCAAGGTCTATAGGCTTTGGGGACCTGCGATGTATAGTCTGACCTTCTAGCTCATAATAACGCGGCACTTGTAGCAGAAATCTCCTCGCATTCACTCCCAACAAAACCGCTGGTCATCCAGTCCCCGTAGGAAGGCTGCACGCTATTGTGTTGCGACAACTCATTCATGTCCCGCACCACGAGGCCCCACCGCCATCTGATCTACACTCGAAATGCGATTACCACCCTGTGCATGCAACATGCTCCTACTCCCAGTCCATGGCGCACACCCCTCGCCAGGCTGCAAGAATTTCTTTCATAATTCTCCTTCTGGTCCTCATCCTTGAAAGAGAGGTGGAAACATGCAGGACCCTGGTATTTGTCTCTGCCTACACAAAATCCAAAATTCTATGGACACACAGGCTGGTCCTCTTTTCTGAACAGCATACACCAAAACCCTCAGCAAATACATTTCTTCATGCCTGACTAGTGGGGCTGACTTGGGTGTACACATTAACGTTCACATACACACAGGGGTCTCCTGCCACACACAACTATACACACACACACTACTTTTATAGACTAATTTTCTCTCTGGGTGGCTCTCACAGACCAAGCAAATAAACACAAATATACACTCTTGTCCCCACAGCCACGGGCCACTCTTCAAGACCGCTGAGTGTTTTCCCCAAAATTAGAAAAGGGGAGAAAGAAAGGTAAAATTTCTCAGTCTTCACTCTAATAAACACGTCAGTCTTCCGACTACATGATTCCCAAACCCCACTAGCTAGCAGCTCCCCAAACATGTATGCATCATTCTCCTCTGTTTGGCCAGGTGTCTTTGGCTCAGTGGGAGCCCCTGACTATCCTCAGAAAATGCAGGAAGTCTAAGGACGGGAGAAGGGAAGGACGGTTGGGGTCTCTCTCTGTCCTATTTACCCAACTCCCCATCACTGAAGGCCTCTTTGGGACCTCCTTCCTTCAAGTGAAAAAAAGTAGCACCCCTCCCCCAACTTTGGCATTTGAGACAAAACACTCTATATCTTCCTTGTCATTCTCCACTTTTATCTGGGCTATCCCCGAGGAAAGGGGACTTGGGGACAATCAACTTACTGCAGAGACACAGCCCAGCCTATGGCCTTCTGTGGGCCTCTAGCCCAGGTGACTGCATAGCTCAGAACTGCAAGGCCATAGAAAGGCGCACGGGGTACCCCCACACTTCCATATCTTTGGCCCAAGAGCAGATGGCATTTGGAGAAAGGGGCTCCATTCCATTTGAGTAAGGCTTCCCCACCTGCTACCCGCAGGCCCACCTCTCTGCCACCCCGGCCTGGGCATCAAGTTGAAAGTCATTCCTTAGCTCCCAAAGGCAAAAACGAGTGCCCCCAAAAGGACCGCCACACAAATATAACCACTCGTGCAGATACAATCCTTCACACACACCCTAACCCTTTACCCACATACTTGTACACACAACTCACCCTGCCCGTAGTTCCTCACTCACACGCCCAGCCCCGGGCTCACTCAGAGTTCTGTGAACCCCTCACCCATCCGTCTCGGCCAACATTTGTTCACTCAGCCCTCACACACTTCACTTGCATGCTTGCCAAGACGCCAATGCGCTCACACAGAGTTCTCAATAGCATGTTCATTTGCAGGAGGGAGAGGAGGGCGTAGGGTCTGGGTGGAGGTCATGGAGCGCAGGGCGGCGCGGGGTACCGAGCGTCCGGGCCAGGCCGGGCCTGGGGGAGGTGGGGGGACGAGCCAGCGCGCAGAGTGCCGCCTAATCCAGCTCGAGCTCGTGGGCCGCGGGTGCATTTATCATCCCATTACTGTAACAAATCCGGGCTCCACTACATGAAAGGTAAAATGAATTACCGACGTTAAGCCGTCAATAAAGTCATTTCTGTAAATGGTGTCTCCAAAGGGCCGCCGCATTATTCAGCTGGCTTTATCAGCTGGCTGGAAATTACGTGGAGGAGCCGGGCCGCGCGGCGCGCGGGGCCGCTCACTTTGATTAAGCGTCTTGCCAGCGCGATGTGACAGAGCTTTTGACCAGGGTTTTATTCACAGGCCTGTGATGAACGCCAAGCTGATCAGGCGGAATGAAGAGTAATTAAAACCTATAAATTATCTTCCGCAGCCCTTCTCGAGGCGTCTCCTGCAGGCGAGATAAGGCGTCGAGACCCTATTTACCGCGCTGAAAGGGACCGCGGTGCACAAAAGCTACGCGGCTAAATAGGATATTGATAGTGTCCTAATTAGAATTTAATTAAGTACCCACGCTTGCTTGCGGGATAAAGATTTCAATTTTGCGAACTTAAATATAAATAAAATCCCACCCTCATTTCGGGGAGAAGGGGTGGGGGCGCCTGGAGATTTCGGGGAGCCCTTGGGTGTGCGACTGAAGAGGACTCGGGAGACTCCAAAGTGGGGTTGGAGGCGACTTGGGAACGTTGAGAAGACTGTAGCGCAGCGTTAGGGAGAGAGGTTTTCTCCCCTAGGCTGCAGCGCAAGTCTAGCCGGGAACTCAGCCCCAGAAATCGGGGGACCCTCGCCTGCTCCCAAGATGCGGTGAGCAATACGAATTCCTGCTCTCCACCAGCCCTTTTGAGAAACTTCAGCCACTGCGGTGTTGGTTCGACTTATTGTGGGTTTGGTTGCATGTTCCTCCTAGCCTAACCCCCTGTGACTTTTCTGGAAAACTGGAGGTAGGGGGATTATTTCGCATGTCACAAATAGACAATATTTCCAAAGAGGTACTTTCTCTACTGTCCCAGCTGGGGAGGGCGTTCAGGGCGAGGAGGTCCGCTGGAGCTCTAAGATGACACCCCCGAAGGCCTCGTTTGCTCGTTTGCCTTTCTCGGCCACCGCAGGCTTCAGCAGAGTCCGATACTGGTCCTCCAAAACGACTCCGCAGACAAGTCCCGCAGGTGCCTAGAGCTTCAGTACACAAGCCACTACCGTCCCTCACATTACCGGTTACGAGAAAACTTTGGGGGTGCCTCGACCAGGAAACAGCGAAAAAGAGCCCGGCAGACGGGAGAGTGATAGCAGCTAGAGGAACCGCATTCCCCTCAAACTAGGGAAGAACGCACAGGGCTGGAGCCGGAGGCACCCAGGGAGTTGGGAGCAATCCCAGGAAATTCAGTTACCCCGCAATTGAGGGAAACTCCTTGTTCACAACGTCAGCTGGCCAGGGCAAACACTTGGGGTGCAGCGCTTTTATTTATTTGATTTTACTTTGCAGGGAAATCTAACATAGAGGTTACCCTGAATTCTAAAGCTAGGGCCTAGCGTGCATCCGCGTTCTGACTCGCCGGCGCGGGGGCCCTCCTGAGATTACTCTGCGTTGCCCGGACTCCCACTGCCAGGGAAGGTCCAGGCGGCTGGCGCTGGGGCTATTCCGAGCCCTCTGGGCTTGGCGCTATGGCGCCAGGACAGCTCCAGGGTGTTGTCGAAAGTCTGGACCGGGAAGGGCATGGGTGCGGATTCCCCACAAAGGGAAAGCAATGCAGCGGGCCGGCAGGAGACGTACAAACGTAAACCTGCGACGCTAGCTAGGCGCAGCGGGCCTTTCAGATTTTGCTATTTGTGAAAAATAAATTGCGCCTCTGAAAGAAACCAACTCTAGGTCTATTTCACATCACCGACCTCCTTGTCTCACTCCCCCTCCCTCCACTACACACACCCAAACCCACACCTACCCACAAACACACAAACCGGCAGTGACAACAACCACTCATCCTTCATAACAGCAACCAGAGAGAGAGGAGAAAATAAAAAGCTGAGGTTCTTAGGCGTGGGGGTGTAAAACAGCCAAGCTCCTGCCTACTGTCCCTGCTCCCGGCGCGCACAGACCCATAATCCTGCGTTTCTCCAACAAGTTGTTTATGGAGTTGCTTCTCCATTTGCCTACATCCCAAAATCCACCCCTCCCGGGTTTCTTCTGCCCCCTCCTCGGTCCCGGCCTGAAGGAGGGGGAGGGGCGCGGGTGGGGGAGGGCGGACCCGACGCACAGGGCCAGCGCCGCGGCGCCCCCTCTCCGCCCGTGGCTGACGCCCCCGGATTATTTATCCGCAAAGTCCCGCGCGCACCCATTGGGCCGAGGCCCGAGTGTCAGCGCGAGTCCCGGCTCGCCATTGGCTCCGCACACGTGCGGCCCTGACTCACGTGCTTCCGGTTTGAAGGCAAAAAGTGTGCCTGGGTGATTTTTTTTTTTTTAAGCGAGAGAGTTTGTGCAAAGATCCTAGCTGTCAGAGATTTGAAAAAAAAAAAAAAAAGAAAAAAAAAAAAAAAAAAAAAACCCAGCCCGGCGCTGGCGGAGACGCGCTCTCCCTGCAAAAAAAGCAAAGGCGATTAAAGGCGCTGCCAGCCTCACGCTCTGGGCACAGCTGAGCGTGACACTCGGGGAAGTCAAATCCCTCACTACTGCCTAGGAAGATGGCTAGACTTTAAATACTATTTTTTTCCCTTTAAGAAAAAAAATTATTGGAGCTTTTTTTCTTTTTTTCTTGCTTTCTTTTTCCTTTTTTCTTTTTTTCCTTCATTTTTTTTTTTTTTGGCCGTGGCTTACTCCCCATTTAAATCAAATCATTGAATCTGGTTGCAGAAAGAAAAAAGAAATAGCCAAGTGTCTCCATATCTGGATGTCTACAAATTAGAGAGGGAGAGACAGCGAGATCTATCTGCTAGATAAGAGCGAGCGATCCAGGCCAGACGCCTGAGATTTTTTCCTGCACCCGCCCGTGCCTTCGCTGGGGCTTCGCCTGCCTCCTTCCTCTGCGCACCCCCACGGGCCGCTGGCAAAGTGGGGTGGGGAGCGAGGCGGTGGGGGCGGGGGCCGGCGCGGCGGCCGGGGCGGCGGGGCGGCAGAGCATGGAAGAACAGCAGCCGGAACCTAAAAGTCAGCGAGACTCGGGCCTCGGCGCGGCGGCGGCGGCGGCGACCCCGGGCGGCCTCAGCCTGAGCCTCAGTCCAGGCGCCAGCGGCAGCAGCGGCAGCGATGGAGACAGCGTGCCCGTGTCCCCGCAGCCCGCGCCCCCCTCGCCGCCCGCGGCGCCTTGCCTGCCGCCCCTGGCCCACCACCCGCACCTCCCCCCACACCCCCCGCCCCCGCCGCCTCAGCATCTCGCGGCGCCTGCTCACCAGCCGCAGCCAGCGGCCCAGCTGCACCGCACCACCAACTTTTTCATCGACAACATCCTGAGGCCGGACTTCGGCTGCAAAAAGGAGCAGCCGCCACCGCAGCTTCTGGTGGCTGCGGCGGCCAGAGGAGGCGCAGGAGGAGGAGGCCGGGTCGAGCGTGACAGAGGCCAGACTGGCGCAGGTAGAGACCCTGTCCACCCGTTGGGCACCCGGGCGCCAGGCGCTGCCTCGCTCCTGTGCGCCCCGGACGCGAACTGTGGCCCACCCGACGGCTCCCAGCCAGCCGCCGCCGGCGCGGGCGCGTCTAAAGCTGGGAACCCGGCTGCGGCGGCGGCGGCGGCGGCAGCGGCCGCGGCGGCAGTGGCCGCGGCGGCGGCGGCGGCCGCAGCAGCCAAGCCCTCGGACAGCGGCGGCGGCGGCAGTGGAGGCGGCGCAGGGAGCCCAGGAGCGCAGGGCACCAAATACCCGGAGCACGGCAACCCCGCCATCCTACTTATGGGCTCAGCCAACGGCGGGCCCGTGGTCAAAACTGACTCGCAGCAGCCTCTCGTATGGCCGGCCTGGGTCTACTGCACACGTTATTCGGATCGTCCATCCTCCGGTGAGTACCCAACTCCGGGCTGCGCCATGCTTTCTGGCCTCGCGGACCGCCCCAGAACGCCAAGCTGCGGCGCTAGGGAGAGCAAACCCGGCCTCGGGTACTCCAGTGTCTCACGCCTGCTTCCTCACCCCAGTTCCAGCCGCAACCGAATTTTCACCCAGCTATGCGATCCTGGCCTCTGCGGCCACCACCTGAGAAGCTACAGCTCGTGGCACAGGAGGCTCGAGTCTCGATTCTTTGGTTTTGAACTCTGAATCCCTGGGGCCTTCTTTGTCTTTTATCTTTATTATTCTTAGGAAAAGTACACAGTCAATGATTTTGTTTCCAGGGTGTTTAGATATGGCAGGAAGGTGGGCCTAGTGATGTGTGTCTGAAATCCCACCAGCCGGATCGTCCGGGGGCCAGATTGGACCAGAGAAGGCCTTGTTCAGAAAAATTATATTCACAGTGTGTCCTTACAAACACAAACACCATCTTGATATTTTCTGCGGAGTGACCGTTTACACTGATAAATATGGGGACACACAGGAAGACAGGGAGGAAAGCGTCTGAAAGCCGTCCCTCTCCCCTGGTCGGGTAGCGAAGAGTCTGACCCGGGTGGGTAGAATCCAGGGAAAGGCAGTTGCCAAAAAGGTGGGTGCTGGCAGCCTCTGGTTTTCTGGAACTGACAAACAGTGGGAGAGGAGAGAAAACAGGTCAGGCTCAGGTCAGAAAGCCGGGCCAAGGGTATGAGAGCCAGTTTCCTCCGTAGCTTCTCCGCAGAACGGCTCCCACATCCTCCCCGCCTGGCACTTTCCTTTTTTCACCAGCACATCCAGCAGTTAGCAGATTTCTGGCATCCGTGGGCCTGTTTTTCTCGGCTTTCCTTCCACTGCATTTCCGTGTGCCCCTCGCGCTTGGCGAACCCGAGGAGGAGACCTGAGCTGGGCTCCGGAACAGGAGGCCAAGGCCTGCCCGACGCCCAGGCCCGCAGTGTCTGGGAGAGCAGCAGAAGCTTTGGCCCAAGATCAGCACTCCAGGCGCCCGGTCCGGCAGGGGGCCGGGAACAACGTAGCCACGCGCCGCTTTCCTCTGGCTGGTCTCTCGCCGCCCCACCGCTGCCGGCCGGGCGCGGATCGATGCGCACTATCAGCTCCCGCCATCTCGAGCCCCGTTATTGACACGTCGGGCTCCCTGAACCTCCGAAAAGCTGCTTTGATTGACTCGCCTGATGGATAGAGTGATTGAGCTGTCAGGCTGCACGGCTCGGGCTGGCCGGGAGACTACGATTTTATTACAAGAGTCCGTGCCTCCGCACACGCATACAACAACACTTCAACATGTCCCGGATGCACAACGCGCAGTGGTGCCTTTTTGGGGTTGTGCGCATTTCCTGGGCTATTTCTCCCCGCTCAGCTAATTACGAATCTAAACCCCAGTTCTGCTCTGGAGAGGGCCTTGGCTTTGTTCTTGGCCACTTTCCTTCTTATGGGCCTGGGTAGGTAGGGGACCAGCTCCTTCTCCTGCTTGGGCAGTTGGGGGAGGAGGGGATGAGCCTCGACCCAGATCTGAGTCGCTGCAGTATGCTAGGCCTGGACTCTTTGTCATAGGACAACTGGTTACCCCAGGCTCTTGCCTGCCCCAGGAGTAGGCTGCCCAGCTTGCCTCTCTGTAGCTAGGTTTGGATATGCCGGCAAAGATCCTTCTTTCCAGACAGTTTTAGAGGTGAACAGGCCTGACAGGGACTTAACTTGGTTCAGCAAGCTACCTTATCCAAGGCAGGACCCAGCAAGTAAATGCCAGAAGACTTGGGTGTGGAAGCGGGTGGGCAGAGTTGCAGGCTTTTGAGGCACACGAACAGTTCAATCCTCTCCTGGTTTTCCCGCTTTCCCTCCTTCCTTTCTCAGTGGGCCCTCCTCCCAGACTAGTATTTGAAGGGAACTTCACCTTCCTAAGGAGGTTTCCTGTGGCCCCTTCCCATTCCTATCTGGCGGTCAAAGCACTTTTTTTTTTTCTGGATTGTCCCTGTCTCCCTTCCTCTGCTTCTTTTTGCTCATGGATGGGGGAAGGGGCTGCAGTCTCCTTGCAGATGTCATCAGTAGGCAGAGAAAGCCAATCTGGCTTGTTTTTGTTATTCAGGAGTTTTTAATCCTGAAATTGCAGCGGCTCAAAGGGGAGATAAGGAAGACCCAGATAAGGGAGACCCTACCCCACACAGCCCGTTAGAGGATCCAAGGGGCAAGGCTGAAAACCCAGGGGCCAGGGTCATGAGGATGGATGAGGGCCTTTTCTTCTCCTTCAGAGAAGGGGTGGTCCCTGTATCCCTGAGACACTAGAAGGCTTCCTTTAGGCCAAAGAGAAAGAAGGCAAGGAGGTGGGGGGGGGGGGGGGGGGGGGTTGCACAGGTAGACACCAAATACTTTGGAGCTGAGCAGCCTTCTCCCAGCCCGCTCACTATCCCGTTGTTTTCTGGGGTCAATAGCTACAAGCAGATGGTGTCTTATTGTAGGTTCTCCTGTGGGTACGATTCTTGTGGAGGAGAGGAGGATTAGTCTGTAGGCTGGTGACTCCCCCAGGGCCTGCCCTCACTGCCCTAGTCCTATCTATTCCAGGGCTGTAAGGACAGCAGGCCCCTGACCCCCAACTCTGGGCTGGGCCAGAGGAGCTCCAAATATCTGGTCATCTTGGATTCCTTCCTTCTTGGCCGGAAAATGCTGTGATTTCGGTCTGTCCCTGACTGTCCTGTGAGAATTGGGGTGTGGGGTGCACCTACAACCTCAACCAGCTTTCCTTCACCCTTTGCCCTCCCAAAGGGAACCCGGAGACCGCAGTGGTCTGGCGAGGGGCACTTTGATGGAGGGATTGGCCGGCGGGAGGGAGCCAGGGGTTCAGCAGAGCCTCCGAGATGGCCCCGGAAGCGCGGGGCTCGCGGCCCAGCTCGGCAATGCAATTCTCACCGCTTCCTTTGCCCTCTCCCCCCTCCCTTCTGCCCTCCGTCCCCACCCCCACCCCCACTCCGGCCCTCTCCGCCGCTGCAGGTCCGCGCACCAGGAAGCTGAAGAAGAAGAAGAACGAGAAGGAGGACAAGCGGCCGCGGACGGCGTTCACCGCCGAGCAGCTGCAGAGACTCAAGGCGGAGTTCCAGGCAAACCGCTACATCACGGAGCAGCGGCGGCAGACCCTGGCCCAGGAGCTCAGCCTCAACGAGTCCCAGATCAAGATCTGGTTCCAGAACAAGCGCGCCAAGATCAAGAAAGCCACAGGCATTAAGAACGGCTTGGCGCTGCACCTCATGGCCCAGGGACTGTACAACCACTCCACCACCACGGTCCAGGACAAAGACGAGAGCGAGTAGACGCCACCGGCCGGGGCCGCGCGGTCAGGCCGCCGTGCCCGCGCCCCCTCCCGGCACCGCCGCCGTCGCCTCCCGGCCCCTCGCTGGGGGAGAAAGCATCTGCTCAAAGGAGGGAGGGAGACAGAAAGAGAGCCTCAGAATGGACAATGACGTTGAAACGCAGCATTTTTGAAAAGGGAGAAAGACTCGGACAGGTGCTATCGAAAAATAAGATCTATTCTCTATTCACAGTATAAGGGACGAAACTGCGAACTCCTTAAAGCTCTATCTAGCCAAACCGCTTACGACCTTGTATATATTTAATTTCAGGTAAGGAAAACACATACGTGTAGCGATCTCTATTTGCTGGACATTTTTATTAATCTCCTTTATTATTATTGTTATAATTATTATAATTATTATAATTATTTTATCCCCTCCCCCTCTGCCTCGCTGCCCCCGGCCCAGTTTCGTTTTCGTTGCCTTTTTCATTTGAATGTCATTGCTTCTCCGGTGCCTCCCGACCCGCATCGCTGGCCCTGGTTTCTCTGGGACTTTTCTTTGTGTGCGTGAGTGTGTTTCCTTGCGTGTCTGCCCACCTCCTCTCCCCCACCTCCTGGGCCCCTTCTGTCGGTCTGTCTGTTCTGCCCCCCTTTCGTTTTCCGAAGACTTGTTGAGAAATACGACCCCACAGACTGCGAGACTGAACCGCCGCTACAAGCCAAAGATTTTATTATGTTCAGAAACCTGTAGTCTGAAATAAAGTGTACACTGTGCTCACGAGCGCTGGCGGCCCTCCTGTTTGCGGGCTCGGGAAGGGCGTGGGTCCGAGCACACAGCGTCTCAGCGTCCCTGCGCACGCCGGGCCGGGAGCCGGCGGGGCCTTGCGATCACGGCGCAACCAATGCAGGGGCGAAGGGGAAGCACGGCCCAGATTCGGATTTGGCCTGGGTCTGAAGGGTCTGGCGGGACACGCCTGGTTTCCGATTGCGTTCAAGGGAACTCAAAGGCCGGCAAACCCAGTCCTGGCTTCGGAAATGCTGCCCGGGTTGCCGGGCAGCTCCCCGCACCGGTCCAGGCCCAGCCCAGCAGCGGCTTCCTCCTGTACAGCCTGCTCTTCACTCCAACCTGCACTTTTCTTTTTCTTTTTTTCTTTTATTCCCTCTGGTGCAGGTTTTGCTGCAGATTTTTTTCATCCAGAGATAGAAGGGGGCCTGCCTTCCTCCCTACCCAACAGCCCGCTTGGGCGAGGGGCACTTTGGCATGGCCTCTCGGCCGCCTGGACTCACTGCACTTCGTTTGGGGGAGGGCTTCTGTTGGCGAAGCAGCAGGTCCCGGGGCAGCCAGCGGAGTCTCGCGGGGCTCGGATCTCCTGGTCCCACAATGCGGGAGGAGAGAAGGCCCAGATGCTGGGAAAGCTGTTCGGAGTGCCTGGAACCCAAGGTGGGCGTGGGTCTGCTGTGTCTGGGCCCTAAACCTAAGAGGGTTCCCTTAAGCATCCCAACAAAGCCTAACTTTCTTCTTCACCAAGGAGGGGGGGCGCACGTAGAAGCCCCCAGGGCCCTCAGGACACCCTGGGTTCCCAGAAGGAAATGTCTGGCCTCTTGCTGCTAACACTGGGGCCCATCCTTCCAAGGCAGGAGCTGCTCTCAGACCTTAAGAAGTTAAGGGGAGGAAGGGAAGGTTCCTTCTCAGGAGGTATTCTCTCTCCTTTGTCCAGGATTTTTAAAAATTGTAAATTCCACTCCCACATTATTTTCTCTCTCCTGCAATATGTATGTATATACCCAAACGTGTGCAGCTAGACGGGCAGGTGTCCACACATACTTGTGTGCATATATGATAATAATGTGCAGATATTGGTGCACCTAAGTTCCTACCAGTTTTTTGTGTGTTCCTGTACCCATGAGGACTGTGCAACTGATTTTCTTCTCTAATGAGATGCACAATTGGATGTTTGTGAGTTCACTGTGTGTACATGCATGAATTTGTGTTTGCACACTGGAATGTCTGCAGGTGTGTTTGCTGGGTTTGTGCACATGTGAGAACCCTGTTCTCTGTGCTCTTCGCTTGAGTTTCTTAATTGTTTTTGCAGGATTGATTTTGTGTGAAATGATAATGGCTAGTTATTCCACCTTTTTTATTGAAAAATTTCCCCTGATTTGGCCCAATGTACTGTTCGCTCCTGGCCAGGGAACTAACAGGGCTAGATCTCAATCCCAGGAAGCCTAGGTCTCCTCTAAATCCCTACACAAGAGTTTGGGGGCTCAGTGGCCTGGAGTGGAATTGGAGAGTGCATTTGACACTGCTGTGGGTTCCCAACTTTATTGCAATTAATTTCCTTCCTTCCATCTGCCCATTGTTTTCTGGAGGAGTGTTGAGTAACTCTTGCATATAATAGGTGCTCAACCAATCTTTGTGGGCAGAGTTAGAAGCAGCGAGCTGGACCCTTTCCTGGGGTTGGTCCAGGGGAGTTGTTTTCTGGTAGTCAAAAGCCTGTGCTTTGCTTTCCTTGCAGAGTAGGCTTGGAATTTTCAAGCCTTGCAGGCTTTCCTGTTAAACAGTCTGATGCCTGGGTCTTGGAGCACCCTTCCCTTCATACAGCCGTCTCCGAATTTCAGGAAGAGTCCCATTCCATTTCACCCTCCCAGAACATCCAGATGTGATGTTAAGGATGCTCAACTCTATATACTGGAGAACCTTACTATTTTTGAATGTCTGGCAATTGGCTACACTCCCTTCTCCCCTCCCTATTTTGGCCCCTTAGGATATCCAAGTCCCCCAAGACCACCAGGTCCAGAGGCTGGGACAGAGGCCAGTGTGAGCAGCGACTCCAGGAACCACCCCATTCCTCATGCTCCCCTTCCTCTATCCAAGAGATCAAAGCCAAGAGCTCTTCCCTTTAACCCAGTGAGAGGGGGAGGTGGTGGTCACTCATCCCCATGATTGCGACAGTAAAGTGTACAGATGTGAGTGTCATTATTATGTAATTTGGTTTCTTACCCATTATCTCCTTTAATCTTCCAATCACTATGGGCAAGTGGATTTTTCTTCATTGTTCAGTGAAAGAACATGAAGCTCTGAGAACTTAAACATTTTGTTTGTGCCTCCTCCTTGACTATGGGTGTCTAAGTCGCATCTACCTCAAGGATCTGGCCAAGGCCCTGAAGCCATCATCCAGGATGACTTTCCCATCTTCTCTCCATTTTTCCTTCCTTCTGATTGGAGTAGAGAAGTGGAGGAGGATTCTGGTGGGACCTTTTTTTACACGCCCTTTAAAAAAAAGAAACTAATAATGATCATAAACGGGCATTGATTTCTCTGATTTATGAGGCTGGCTTAGTGAGCTGCCTGTGTATTAAGGTCTGGGGCTGCAGCGAAATAAATACTTGAGCACGCCGTCCCAACTTCCTCATTTTCTGTTTTTCCTTTTTTTTTTTTTTAAAGATTGAATTGAACCATAAACTTAAATCTTCCTCAGTCTAAAAGGAAATACATGCTAGCTGAGTCTAAACAGTATTGATCCCTGGTTCTTTCTGAGGGCAAAGGTCTCTGTTTTCTTGCTGGAAACTCTCTTTTCTTCAGTAGGGTTAGGGAGAAGGCCATGGATGGGGCTGAGGGAAGGCATGAGGAAAGTGGAAGGAGAGGGTGTTGTGGTATTTGGGAGTGTGGGGTTGCTTGGTGTGATTGCGTGGGCTTATGTATGCATGGGTTGTACTGTGTGTGGGCATTTGTATTGGCATGGTACTGAGTATATTTATTTAGGTTTGGGAGGTGGAAGTGTGTGCTTTGGGTATATGGCCTCTAGCAGTGATTGTTTGATGTCTGTGGGTGTATGTATGTGTACCCAGTTCTTAAGCTCCCTAGATGGGGCTGCCCAGGGAATAGAGGAGTGGCCTGTTAGCCTGCACTCTCCCAGGGCCCCACACCCATCTGTCACCTGTGGCAGGGTTTCCAGAGATAATACCATGGAGGAGGCCACTGTGCCCCAGGACACCCCCAACCCCAACACACACATTCAGTAGAAAAAAGGCCCCAAAAGGGTAAGTTGCAAGGCAGGTGAGCTTTGGCTGACTCCCAGAGGTCCAGGAGATGCAGGCCAGGGCCAGACTCTGCACCCTGGATGGAAGTGTCTACCGCAGCTTCTGTCAGGGGTGGCCATCAATTCCTTCCATGGTCAGCCTGGTTTTTCCTTTGTGCGAATGAGAGAGGCCATTCTTCTGGCAATCTAGCCAACCCACTATCCTCTGCTTCCACCACACAGGGGAGTGAGGCAGACAAGGGCAGGGAGACATTCAGATGTCCTCTCCAGCTTCACCTCAGAGCCTGGACCCTTTTAGTCTGGATGTCACACTGGGTTCAAATGGAAGAATATGCTCATCTCCATCTGTGGGAGGTGGCGGAGTATCTTCATCCCTCCTCACTCCCACCAGAAACCTCCACTGTCCTCTCTCACTTTGAACTCTGGGGAGGGGGTCTCTTCTTTGGCAACCTGTAGAAAGGGGAAGGGCTAGGGACTCTGCCAGCCTCCACCCCTCCAAATGCTTTAGGCCAGTCTTTTAATGCAGTGTCAGTGTTGGAAGTTTCCTCAGGGATTCCTGAATTACAAAATCATGAGACAGAAAGTGCCCCAAGAGAAAGCACAAGGCAAATGAGAGGCAAAGTCCTCAGATTTCCTATCAGTTCAGGCCTCTTCTCACCGTGCCATCAAGTGGGTAATGTCAACATGCATGCAGGCACAATGCACACATATACACACTTCCACACATACAAATGCATAAGCATGCACACACCCATGTGCATACATATGCACACATGCAAAACATAGGCATGTATACAAATGTCAATGGACCAATATATAGTGCATTCACAGCAAGCACATGGACATTGCCTGTGTAGAAGTTTCTGGCACACAACTATACATGAGCCAGGAATACACATACTGGTGTCCAAGACACATCTGCATGCCCCAGCTGGTGGGCTTCACTCCTAGCCAGGGGAGGGAAAGGACATTTTTTTTTTCCAGTGATCAGGACAGACCTGTGTGCCCTCTCCTTCCTGTGGAAGCCACCAAAAGGAGAGGCAGCGCCTTCCCTCTCCCCTGGAGGCAGCTGGTCCAGTCCAGGTGCCTGTGCTCAGACACAGACCCAATGCTACAACCCTCTCCCACCAGCAGGTACATCCAGTGCCCTCCCAGCTCTAGCTCTTGGGGCTGGAGCAGGCCCAGGGCGAGAGGAGGCAAACATCCCAAACAGATTTCTCAGAGGCTTGGTAAGTCATGGGCCATTACAATTTACTCCTTGAGTTTGCTTCAGATACAGCCTTTTCCAGCTGGATGCCACTCTGGAGATGGAGTGGGCCCCTCCACTCTGGAATTCTCCCCACAGGTATGGGGGTGGGGTGTTTTGAGGACACTTGGGAAGACTTCGGGCTATAGTAGTGGAAGACTCTAGGTATGTGTGACCCAATAGAAAAGCAGAAATATATTGTGTGTGTGCAGGCACACACATCCTGAAGAGAGTATTCTTATCAACAGCTTGTGACTCTGCTTTGGGCAGGCAGGTGGGTGGGAGTGCTAGGAGGGGGTAGGGGATTGTAGAGGAGACTAGTGAGTACTCGCCTCCCCCTCCTCAATTCTGCTGAGTAGTGGGGTATAAAGCCAGACACAAGTTAGACACTGTCAGCCAGCAACAGATTCCTCTCTGCCCCCTGCCACCAAACAAGCATATGGAGAAAGCTCCATCTGGGGTGCCAGCATCCTCCCTTCCTCCTGAAGACCTGGT